ATAGTTTATTTATCCCTTAACCACTATTTAGAAGATATGTCTTTGACAGTTTTATGTTGATACCAGTCATCTTTGAAGTGTATAAACTATTCAGAGCACATCTGTAAAACATCAGAAGTTACATCCCATTTAGCTTGTCGCTTCAGACTGTAATACAAGTTCATATTGCAAAGTAATGCTTAGCTTGGCCTCACAGCAATTATGGAGATATAATCTGATTGTAAGAAATCGCACACTGAATCAACCTTAAAAGGTTTTAATATTAAAAGTCCTTCACTAGGAAATTAATTTTCTTTCTTTCTTTTTTTTTTGGTGGCTGCTTAGTGTTAATTTATTTAATAATGGAGCCTCCACAAAGGTATTTTTCAGACTGAGAATCCTATTTTCTGAAGTCTTAGTTAATACATAGACATGTTTTAACAAATAAATTAGAAGTTAAGAGATGGACAGTTAGTTGCTTCCACTGAATTCTGTCTCCATTTACACACAGTACAACTCTAACATCTTACTTTTAATAAATCTAGTGCCTAAATACCTTTTTTTAAGAAAGCACTTAGAATATAAATACACAGAGTTTGCAAACAGCATGTTTTGAAGGAAATACCATGTTGTAACAAATTAATTTTGGTGGGTTTTGATCACTGCTTCTACCATATGTTTAATAATTGGCATTTTAGTGAAATATCCTTTCTGATATTTTAACAGAATGCTATGTGCTGTGCTTCTTTAGTGAGTGGAAACATTCTGAGATCGAGCTAGATATTTAAATTAGCAAGTATTCTAGCTTGCACACAACTACCATGTGCAAGCAGGATTTCTTTCAGAACATTTCATTTTAGAGTTTTGTAAAAAAAAAAAAAAAGAAATAAAAAAATTCATTCACAGTGCCTTTCCTTTCCACGATGATTCGTGTAGCTAATCTGTCCTTTACAACTCACATTAAGATGGAGAAGGAGCATGGGTACAGCCACAAGGATCATGACATTATGGAACACACAAAGGCAGAGAGTGAAAAATTCAGACTTGTTACTCAAAACACCACCAAACGAAAGGATCGGCTCACCTTTTCAAATCTTCAGTAGCCTAAGAAAACGGCGATGGCAGGAAAGGTAGGGGTTTCCCAGGAAATACAGGGGAGCTGCAGAGCTGAGCGAGTGGGAGAGAAAACTGACAAACGGCATGTGGTCTGGAATACAGCAACTTACTGTCACCGTAACTTAAGGAAAGGGGAGGAGACTGCGAGCCCCGCTCTGAAAAAAATAAAAACACATCAGAGGAGAGGGGAAAGCTGAGCCTCTGGAATATTGATTGGTCTTGGCACAGCGAAACAGGGTCACTTTCTTTGTTTTTCCTTTTAGACCACTTTCACGCTTTGTCAGTTCAGCTTCGTTAGAAATGCAAAATCAGAGCCCAGGAAGAATTGAAGGATCGCACACACACACAGAGCAGGGGAGGTTGGAGGTCTTCTTCATTAGATATTTCAGACTGAAAATCTGAAAAGCCTAAACATAATTATATAACACTATTCCTGTGGGGTTTTTAATGAATGGTGAAATATGTGAGTGTGCTGGCTTGTTCTAAAAAGGGGCATGCTGTGAGGCTATCACATATTTTCTACTTCTTAAAGACAGTTATTCATGATCTATTCTTCCCAGACATAACTTGCAGAATCATCTGAAGCATTACCAAGAATAGAGAAAAACATTATCAGCTATAATTATCAGTCTTTGTATATTTCTTGTAGATATTCGAAACACATGATGAGACTTGCCTCTTGTTTAGCAATTTGAACTCACTGGTACTAAGCCCCATTCAGCCTGTTTCAGTAGAATGGAATCAATGATGAAGAGAAGAGCATAAAACATCCACTTCTGAGAAATAAGTGGCTTTCAGGTTTTTTTAGCATTTAGAAGTTTGTGCTATTGAAAAGACATTTGCACAGGCGAGTCAGGGGATTTCCCAAAGACTTTCTTTCACATTTTAGTGAAACACATTCATTTTAAATGCAAGTAAACTCAGTTTAAAATAGTCAATAATTATATTTTAGTGCATTTTTCATGAGATTTTAAAATGTATTTTCTTATAAGATGAACAAATATTGTAAATGGAAATCTATATAAATTTATGCTAAACATATAATTTAAGCAGTTTGTTTATAGATGACATGGCTTTTAATGTTTTTTTCCTGGAAAGTAATTTTATGTGTAGAGAAATAACCTTATGTACTAAACACATAAAAAATAGTTAGGCACAAAATAAAATTAAGAGCAATGTTACCTCCACAGAATCACAGTAGTGGTTTTACTAGTGTTTTCTAATTTAAATGTGGTTCAATTAGTGATGTATAATGTAGAGAAAAATAATCTTACATTATAATGAAAACTTGCTCATTGTCAATGTAAGTTTGAGGTTGAACTGTGTACTGTGGAATTTTGACCTTAGGTATTCAAATTAAGAAAGAAAGTAAGCTTCCAAATTGTTATTAATTGACTTTTAAAAAATAAAAAAAAAATGTTCACAGCTTATGTTGCAAAGATAGGAACACGTGCTGTATTTCCTTATACCTGTCAGCTTAAATGTCTCTCTCATTCTTATTTTTGTGGTGCAGTTTTTAAATACTTTCACCTTTTTTTTGGAGATGGGAATGGACCTCTTAACTGACCTTTGGCCTTTAGTGATCTGCTTGTTTGATTTTCTTCTTGGAGCGTGACATGCTTTCTCTGAAACCTTCCAGAAAAGGACCTCATTCTGCCCTCTGTTCATATGAATAGCAATGTTCATGTTGCCTTAAAGGGACAGAGGGCAGGCCCCAAATA